GGCCCTCTATGAGGTGGATTGATTCAGTGACTGGGATAATTGGGATGGGAGTGTTGGAGACAGTGCAATTGGCACAGGACAGAGTGGAGTTTAAGGCTGTTGTACATAGGGTCGCTATGAGTCGCAGGCGATTCGATGACACATAACAACAACAACTGGTGCCAAGAGTGTTGACTATGGAGCCAAGCAAACTAAAGCTGTGTACAATCTCAATCCCTTCACTATCCATCCTGATGCTGCCAATTGGTCCAGTGGTGAGAATCTTTGTCTTCTGGACATTGAGTCCCAATCCATATTGGAGTATGTGTTTAGGTATTATTTGCATGACAACAGTCCAGAATAAGAGTTGCATAGTAAAGTGGACTGGGATGGGGGTGTACAACAATAAAAGAATTTTTTTTTCCAAAGAGGAAAGCAAACGGGGCGGGGAGTGGGCATGGAAGAAAACGTACAACAATGAATGAATGGAAATTCAAGTTCTCTATAAACTTACATCAAAATATCAATTAAAAAACCCCCAACAGTAGTTAATATCCCTAGTCTTCTCATCCCATTATGTCTTTGTCTTTCATAGTTTGGGCAATGCCATAGGTGGTTTATTGCCATGACAGAATGCTCTTCTGTTTCAACTTTCATCCCACATTTATGACATTGAAAACAACTCAGTTAAGAATTAGTATGTCTTTAACAACTCTTACACTTTCCACTCTTGTATATTTTACAAGGTACATCCCAGGATCATAATACTGGGCAAATAACAATAGTATCTAGCCAAAATTCAATCACATCATCTTAGTTTCATTATTTATTAATATGAATCCTGCCTATTTACAAGTGATTTTGATGTTTCCATTTATACACTGTTGGTGATGTTTGGTAGTGGTGTTGTTGTTGGTCATAGTCAACTAAGGCTCATAGTAAACCTATGAACAACAGGTCTCAACTTTGTCCTATCTGGAACCATCCTCAGGATCTCTGTCATACTCAACTCTATTGTAGTAGTCAATGGGCCAATGCATCTCATTAAGAGTCTTCTCTTGTTTGCTACTTTTTCTACTATGTTTCTCACAGTGTTCTTTTATATAGCGATATAAAATTTCATTTAAAAAGAAATTTAAAAAATGAGTTGACTTAAGAAACCATTATATATATAAAAGCAATGGGAGTTCACAAGACATGGAAAGAAATTGCTGGATGAGGCTACACTCCAATGGCTGACTTTTGAAAATAGCGTAGCCCACAAAAATTCCCCCAAATCCTATTCTGGTTTTTGGTACTAGCTTCACTTCTTTAATAATAATTAAATGTCTCCTCTAGACCAAGACATTGTTGCCATTTCTCTTGGAACCTCTCATTGTTTACTGATAAAGTCAGCCCTTTGATGATTTTGTCACTGTCCCCAAACGCTATATTGTTCAGATGGTATCTGTATTCCCCTGTGATGAAACTGGCACATCTGGTGGGTCCACCATGCCTAGCATATCCAGATTTCAGGAAAGAGTGAAGAAGCCTAAATTACCAATAAATCAAGGTGGTTTACATTCAAGATAGTGAGTTATTTGACAATCTCGTGGCCTAGTGGTAAAAAAGCTGCACTGCCATCTTAAAGGGTTATGGTTTGAATCCGCCAGCTGCTAAGCAGGATAGACAATTTACCACTTCTGAAAAACTGCTGGAGGGTCAGCTACAGGTCAGTTGTGACTTAATGACACACAACCACAGAATTAGGTGATTTTTTAAAAGTGTACATTAAAGCTATATGACTAATGTTTACCCTTTCCTCTTCCATAACTTTCAATCTCCAATCTTTCATGATGCCAATATTTGGTTCCTTTTCTACTTTATCTATAAGAAATGGTGTTGCGGGTCTTTTTAAAATTTTTTTTAAATGAATTCTTCTAAATATAGACAAAAGCAATAAAAGCAATGCCCATACATTTCAGAAGACATCATTGCCACATAACATAATTTTGTTTGTGTATTCCCTAAGGAGCTAAAAAGACATTATTTTCATTGTAATGCTGCTGGGTAGAGACAGTATCTTCTCTTTATTCTTTGTCATGCCTGATATTATTGGTTCAGCATATTATTAAAAGATAATGTATCTGTATTGAAAGTAATAAATCTGTATTCGTCTAATTTCTCATGAGCTCCACTAAATCAGTATTTTTTTCACTCTTAGGCCTTGCAGGGTAGGATCCAGAGCTTGAACAATAGCAGGTTTAGGTTTCACACTATAATATACTAAGTGAAGATGGTGATTACTGGTAAATATGTCTTCCTAAATCCACAAGGTCAAAGAAAATACAGGTTCCACCTTCCCGTGCGGGCTCCTTGGGCACCACATCTGCTTGCAGTGGCTCTCAATGCTCCTGACAACCGGGCTTCACTGCTGAGGGGACACATGGCAAGGGCCTGACTCGGGACCTCGGACAAGGGAAACATTCTAAAAACGGAAATCAATTTCAGTGTCCTGCACCAGCGAAACCGGGAGGTTGGAGGCTGCAGTTGGTGAACGCGTGGATGTAGAACGTCTTTCCCCTTGATGGTTGCAGCAGGAGCGAGTTAGGTTCCTCGGTCGCTGACTTCGCGGCCCTGCCCAGACCATTGTCCGCACACCTCGTCCCTCCAGCTTCCGGGCCGCCGGCGAGATGATTTGCTGCAGATGACATCAGCCCCGGGCCACCGGCTGGAAGAGCGGAGGCCGCCACCGCGCGAGGATGTGCCGGGTGGTCCTTTCCTCCTCCTCCAGGGCTCCCAGACTAGTCTCCATGTAAAAGAGGCGCCACCTCCCCGCCCTCTCTCACTCCCCGCTCCTCTCCGCCAAAGCTCGCAGAGGGCGGAGGGGGAGGCGGCGCGCAGCGCCAGGAGGAGGGGGGACGCAGGGGGCGGAGCGGAGGCAGCACCTTCGGAGATAATCCTTTCTCCTGCGGCAGAGGAGAGGAGCAGCTAGAGCCGAGCACATCGCTGAGGCTAAGCGGACCGGCAGGATGGCGACCGTGGTGGTGGAAGCCGCGGAGCCCGAGCCGTCCGGTAGCATCGCCAACCCGGCAGCGTCCACCTCACCCAGCCTTTCACACCGCTTCCTCGACAGCAAATTCTACCTGCTGGTGGTCGTCGGCGAGATCGTGACCGAGGAGCATCTGCGGCGCGCCATCGGCAACATCGAGCTCGGTAAGCGTCCCCAGTTCCCAGGGGACCAGCGCCAGGAGACGCGCAAACGCGACCCCACCCAGGGCGCAACGGCCACCTTCCATCCTGCGCGCTTCCTTCCCGCTCTCCTACCCCGCCACCTCTTGCACTCTGTCCAGATTCTCGTCTGGGCTGCTTTGGGAGAGTAATCGGAATTGTTAGATAATCGGAATCACTCCTGAGAGAGTGAACCTTTCATAACCTTGAGGTATCTGTCAGGGAGCTGGCCACCGCCTCTCCTGCTAAGCGAAATGCAGGTGTCAGAGAAGCTACAATAATGCTGGAACCGCAAGGGGCAAAGGAGGGGTTAGGGGAGAACCCGTTGTACTCACTCCCTTTCAGCTTCCCTCTCGCCCAGCTAATGGCTGGGGGAACCCTTGCTGGAAGATTTTGGACGAAAACACGATGTGTCAAAGTCCGCAAAGGAATTACCCTCACCGCCACCCTTAGTTCAGAGAAATGCCCTTTCTGGCTTAAAACCCGCCACATCCATTCTTTCCCGGGAATGACTAGGCTAAGTGTTGGGGCCACGCCCGCACGCCCTCCCCCGAGACGCAGGGATGGAGAACCGCCTGCGCTTGGTTCCCAGACCGAGCCAGCCTCGCCGCAGCCCCTGGGGCCTTGGTTGCAGCTTTTAGAAAGGACAATGGGACCCCGAGTTGCAGGGTGGGGCGGCTGTTTCTAAAAGTCCCAGCACCAGTACAATAGGTTAGGGATAGGGGATCGGCGGGTAGTGCGCGCGCCAGGGGATCGGCGAGTAGTGCGCGCGCCAGGAACGCGCTCTGCAGAGGCCGAATAGCGGATCCTGGGGAGTCCTGGGCGGGTCCCGGGGTCCGGCTGGCACTGCCTGGGGCACAAGGACCGGCTAGTCTCCCAGCCACACCCAGGCTGCCGCAGTGCCCTTAACCGCCCGCCGCACCTGCCCCTGCACTGCGCTCCCCCTCGGGCCCGGCGGGCGCGGCCAGCGTGCGCCCTGGCCACGGACTGGGGGTGGGGTGGGGGGGCTGCGCGCCCTTTGCCCAGCTTTGTTGGGCTCGGAGCCCCCAGGTGGGCAGGTCTCATTTCTGCCTTGCCTTTCCCCCGTGGTGATCCGTGTCCCTCCCTTCACCCCGGACAGAGGTCGCCGGGTCCCTCCGTAGCTCAGCCCGCGCTCTATTCTCTCGCTGTGGTGCTGAAGCGCCTCTGCCCCTAGACACCGGCTGGTGGGCGTGGTGCAGTCCGCACTGCAGTCTCTACGGCAGCCTGAGGCGGACAAAGGGCGTTCACGCAGCCCTCCTTGCCGGTTCTACCCACTCCCAGTAATGAATGGCGAAAGAAAATGCTGGTTTTGGGGGGCGGGTGAGGAGAAAAAAAAATACTCGCTTGTCATCTGTCTGTACATTTGGAAACGGCCACTTGTCCCCAGAACAAAAGGCTTCAGGGTGGGGACTGGAATTGCAGACCTGGTTCTTTTGTTTAACTTTGAAGCACTGATTTTTTAATTTTCCTTTTCAGCTCCCCCCAACCCCTAATAACACCACTAACAACCAAAGTGACCAGAAAGCAGTATTCAGTTAAAAAAAAAAGAAAAGAAAAAGAAAGAATAAAAGGGTTTCCCTAGAGCATCCCAGTAGCCTTTCATTTTCAAGCTAAAAGCCATTCATCAGAGCTTTTCTAATTTGGTTTATTGCACATTTTCCTCCTAGAAAATAATCCACACTACACGCATTTACTTTGGGTGTGGTTACTGTAGGAATCAGTGACTTTGAACATTTCAAACATACCTCTCTACACCTGGTTGGGAAACAAGAAAGCATTAGAATGTGCTCACTTTTCTCTAAAAATCTTCCTGACCACTCCAGTGATGAGCGATCGGCCTTCTCAAATTAGAGATGAAGTCTAGAGAGGTGGGAAGGAAAGGGGACTGGCTCAAGGTCACACGGCTCACAAGTGACACAGGACTGGTACTGCAGCATCACTTGTTTTCTGACCCTGAAAGTGATGCCAGATCAGAGAGAAAATTTCAAATACAGCGATTTTCAGAGCCTGTCTTTGTACAGTCATCCACTTGTGGGCAGCGCCCCATGCAGGGAGGCCGCTTAGCAGTCACCTTTGGACCATAATTATCTTCCTGCTTTGTTACTTGCTGATCATCCTTTCCGCTCAGGATTCCTCAGGGGGCTTATTCAAGCTGCTTCTGTTGGAAGATAAAACAGATGCATGCAAGTACTGCTGCAAAGTATTTCCTGTCTTTATTCTTTCTTTCTTTGTTTGGGTTGTGGTGTTGGGTTTTTGAGCTTTTTTGACATTACTAGCCAATTCATTTATTTATTTATTTTTACTATTGCATGATAAATTAAATTTTGCTTTCCTTTTTTTTTTTTTTTTAGTAAAAAGAATATTGTACTGGCGAATTTCATATAGAGGCAAGGACACCTTACCAGAGATGAGCTGCTCAGTGAATTTTCACAAAATGAAGATACCTGTAGTTATCCAGACCAAGAAACAGACATTATTAGGATCTTACCTTATGTTCCCTTTCTAGTCAACAGACCCTCTTGATTTTTAATTCCCTTATTTGCCCAGGGTTTTGTATGGAACTCTGAGATGGCTTTATTGATCCCATTAAGAATCAACCAAATGAGTGAACAGAGCCCTTTTCTTACACACGGTGACAGATGTCACCATTCCTCTGGAGATTGCTCTTCTAGGTCCTGGGGTCTCAGCTGCAGCATCTCCCAGGGCTAAGGGAAAAAATTGCCCCAGTAGCTTCTGATGGTCTGAGATGACTTAGCAACAGGGCAGGGTGTGTCTGTTCCCCTGTGGGTGACTTGCTGCCTCAGCCTTCAGGTCCCAGCTGGCCCTCCTCCTGAGGTCATGAGGATGGTGCTGCTGTTGTTGCTGGTGACAGTGGGTCATGTTGTGTGAAGTGAGACGGATCTGCTCCAGGGATTTCTACTCTCAACGCATGTTGCAGGCAGGGAAAACAGTCCATCATCTGTTAGTTTTTCTTCTCATCACCCTAACTGAGGCTCTGTGGGCTTAGAGACTCTGGAGACTTGAAATCCTGCCATCTGATTATTGAGAGCTCCCTGGGAAGACCTAGAGGGGGAAAAAAATAAATCTATAAATCTGTAGGAAGATAGTAGTAATGCAGTAAATCAACAGGACGGCAACACTCTGGATGCTTAGTAAATGCTTCCTGAAACCAAGAGAAATAATCACACTAGTCTTTTCAACTACATGAAAAAAGCATAATGTGGGGTTTGATCATATCTTCTCCACAATTGGCAACTCCAGTCTTTCCCTGGATTGGTCTGGCTTTATTTATTTAGCTCTGTAAAACCTGATGCCAAACCATAAGGTCTTAGAAACCACTGCCTCCCACTCCATGGCTTCCACTATCTTCTTAATTAGCCCTACAACATGGACTTAACAGGCTTCCTCCTTTGTTAGCAGAGTCCCTACTTTGGTTTATTTTAGTACATAAAGTACAGAACACCCTGGCTTTCTGTGCTTCACAACTCAACTCTAGAGCCCTTGGGAAGGGAGTTTTCATTTTATCTTTTATTCAAAGGAACTAAAACATAAGAAATACTGAGTGTCGATTTGAAATTTTGAATTGCTGTTAAAGAATGTAACATCTCCAGTAACATTGCTAATCAGCCAGATTTGTACTAAAAAAAGATGTGGCTAATATCTAGTGTGCCCTTGGTTGTTAGATATAGACATAGCTGGTTACATAGTAATCCATATCTTCCTTCTATTGAATATCTTCTGTCTGAGATAGTAACGGAATTAAGAGCTTTGGGAAGATTTAGGCAATAGTTTATTGTCACTTTTTGTTTTAAGGGGGGAGAACAAAACAAAGCTGTACATGGTGGGAATTAAGTTAAATGTTAGAGAGTGTTACAATTATGTTATTCTTTTTTATATTTGTCAGAGTCAAAGGGCAAGTGAATTTTTACCTGTACTACTTAATTGGTATTATTTACTAACGGTTTTCCAAACCATGTTGAAATAGAATCTGAGCCAGTCCCAAACTTAAGTTCATTAAATTAGTGATTCATTGTTAGTCTTCTTTAAGGGCTTATTTTTTAACAAGCCGTTAACTTTTACAACAGTAAATAAATTATTATAAATCACTTCTTTTGTTTGCTTCTACTATGAGATGTTATCCAAGACCTAATTTCTTTAGTAACATTGCTTCACTGCTTTGAAATTATGAGCTCTGTATATAAGGTGTTGTCTGCATTACAAATTACCCACATATTATGAGGATCAACTTGTTAGCTAGGAAAGAAAAGAAATGTGGCTACCTAGGGAAAGGATAGAAAGCTTTTCTTCTGAAAAATAAAACTTTGGCAAGACTTGGCATATCCTTAGTTTTAATGATCTTTCTTTAGTTTATAACACTAATCTGATTTTAGGTGGCTTTTTAGAATAATTTTATAAATGGAATCTAATGGTTACAGTCTAGTGATTTAGGAATTTGCAGAAATAGATTAAAGACTATCTCAGACAGAGTTCTTGAGGCCATTGAGGAAAATCAACTTGTCTAAGGCCCAGATACCTATCAAATAAAGCCCATGTGTCATTTATACTTATAATGCGTGACCATTTCATTCTATTTTCTGGAATCTCCTGTCTCCATTCATGATATAGATTTTAGCCATTTAAATGTAAATGCAAGGCACTTTTCTAACATAGGTTTAATTAAACAATAAGACAGATTGTTTGCATGTTTGATAAAGTTAGATATATTCGCTATTTGTTGGGCTATCTTGTTCTTATTTTTTCTAGTCTGATTTAATTTGAGATGATCCCCTCAGACTCCCACATACCTTTTGTTTTCTGTTCATCTCTGTAAACGTCATATGCCTGTGTGTGTCCCTTTGTGGATTTTTAATACCTACAGTCAGAAAATAAAGAAGGAAAGTTCCTTTGTTATTCTGTAGTCAGTAGGGTTGGGCGAGAACAGGCTGGAAAACAGTTTGAAAGACACAATGATGAGGTTCATTTCCAGGATGCCTGGCCACACTTTTGAGTTTCCCAGGGCTGATGGATGCCCTTTGAGCCTAGGCATTTCTAAAGTGGATGCTCGTCTCTCCCAGGGGGGTGTAATTGTTATACCCCCTCATGGTGAGCCAGCAAGGGGCACAGTCTTTATGGAGCCAGAGGAAGTCAAGGTCAGGCAAGAACTGGAGCTAAGGAACATTGGAGGCAGAATCAGAAGGACTGAGGATTTGCCCTGGCTTTTCCACTCTCTATCCATTCTCCCTCAGATAATGAGAGAGGACTTACTTCACAAGAGACTCATGAGAACCTCTTTGCCAACCTTCTAGCATCCTCACCAACCATTTAAAAAGAGGAGAATCTGAATGGCCGTAGAAATATTTTCCTGTGAGCTTTAGAGGACCAGACATTGTTAGGTCCTATTGTCACAAAAATAAACCTATTGAATATAATACAAACCTCCATTGCGAAACTACACTTCTCTTTAGTAATATTAATCAATGGAAAATAATCAAGCACATAAAATATGCTTTCTCTTTTAAAATTGGTGTAGAAAGTAACATGGTTCGTAAATTTCTCTTTCCAACTAAAATAACTACTGAACTCATTGTAAGATTTATTTTATAAGTGGTGATAGTAATTATGCAAGTTAAGAAATAACTTGGCTGGGATTCTGTATCTAAAAAAAGAGATCCCAAGCTGAATGTTCAGTTTCGTTAGAAGTGTAAATATGAGAAATATTTTTTAACTGACTGTTTACCAGTGAAATGTAAGCCTTACTAAATCATTCTTTCCATTGTATAGCACTTCTTCTATGGTTAAGTGATAGATCATAAAGCCAGACATCTACAAAATATCATGCAAACATTTAATTGCATGTTTCACAGGTTAATTGAAGCCAAGGAAAAATGGCAAACGATGATCTAAAAGTCCACCTATAACCCCGATGATGAAGTCATTCAAATAAACGTAGCAATTTGGATGTTACTTAGAACAAAAGCAGAAAATTGTATGAATTTAATTTAAATACATGTGTTTCATTATTAACTTATTGACCCAGTTTGACAATCTGGAAGAAAAAGTGGAGCTCAGAGCGGGAGCACAGAGAATCCACTCAACAATACCAATTAAGCAGCTCAGACAGAAACTCAATGCTTTTCGCACTAGCCAAGTATGTAGTGTATACATTGAGGTAAAATATTCTAATGAATTCAGACCTCTCAACCTGTCAAGCTTTCCATGAAACAAAAAGAAGCCATTTATCATTTCTGGATTAAAAAGATCTGCAAATCTCAACATGCCTTTCTTGGTAAAATTTAAATATTCCATTAGCACAAATGCAAACTGTGGCCATTAATGGTTCCAGGGAGACCCATAAAATTCTCGGTAATAATTTAGCCTCTCTTTAGGAATGTTAACTCTTCCACACCTGAATTCTCCCCATTTAGCATCAGAAGCTATTTTTTGCCTCTATTTAGTGGACATAGTTCTATCTGACATGATTCTTCATGGTTGAAAAGGTCCTTCATGTGTAATCTGAAAAGATATTTTAGATGTTCAGTGAACTGAGTTTCCAGAATTTGGGGGGGATAGTTTTTCTATTAAACATGACCTTAATTCTTTGCAAGATGTGAAGCATGCATGAGCTATAAAGAGGAGCTAAAAAGAGAAATGCATTAAGGAATTAAGGTGTTTTAAATGATAAATTGCCATTTTGTACTCCTAAGTCTAATGACCAGTTGAAAAGATGACATGACCAAGTATTTCTTTGAGAATACACCTGCTCTGTTACACTGAGCAGCCCAAGCCCCGTGCTCTTAGTTGATACACATACATGCCTGTTACTTCAAGGTTTGTCCCTGGTATTGATGATGCTCTACACAGTATATAATCATAGATACTAGATACTGACTTCTCTTTTGAAAATAAAGCAGTATACCCCAGAGCTCTGTGGTTCCCCAGTTTTCTTCATTGGCCCACGGATATCCTTTTGGTGGCCTTTGAGTTTTCCTCTAAGCCATTTTGTCTAGGAGAGCAAGAGGGAGGAGGGCAGAGCCAGGAGGAAGGAAGTGACCAGGGAGCTCAGTCATAAGCGCAGGAAGTCACTTTTATTCTCACCCTGGCTTTCCTTTCACCCCAAGTTCCGGGCTCAGAAACCTTGAACTTCGGTGCTGATGGGTAGTGCATGACCTCCAACTCCAGAGAAGTTTTATAAAGTACCAATTATTGCCACATTTCTTGGCCTCTTGATAAGAAAACACAATGCCACTAACAATTATGAATGCCAAAGCTGCCTGCCAAGCTAGTCAGGTGAAATAAGTGCTTGGGAGGGTGGACAGGCCAAGTCCTGAAGGCTAAGGCCCAGTCTTCTAGTCAAAGATCATTCACACGTTAGATTGATAGCTAGTGATTTAGAAATCAAGGCTAAAAAACAAAAACAAAGAAACAGAAAAACCCACCAAACCAAACCAAAACAAAAACAGGACCAGGGAAGGAAAGAAAGTATTGTTGTGGTTGTTAGGTGCCGTTGAGTTGACGTTGACTCATAGAAACCCTATGAACAAAAAACACTGAACCTTGTCTTGTCCTGCATCATTCCCATGATCTCATGTTAGTCACTGTGAATCAGCCTCATGTGGGCATGCACATTTGCACACACAGAACATAGTTTTGAAAGCAAAGAAATGCCATACCTCTTGACCCTCATTCTACATGTTCATAGCACCAGCAGATAGACGGGGGAAGCTGGAGAGGTTCCCATGGCCTCTTAAACTGCTCACAAACTCACCCTCCTGTCCTTTCTACTTCCTTTCCCAAGTGGAGTCTGTCATTTTCCTAATAACTGTTTTTCTTTTGCTTTTCCAGAAAAGCTACATTTACATTTTATGAGGGCAGAAGTTCAGTCCACACTGCTAGTTATCTCTCCCTTGTGGCCTGGTGGAGAGAGTTCTGTGGCTCTCCCGTTTTGTGGGCATCCCTGATACTCAGAAAAGGAGTTTCCATTTCCTTCCCTCAAACCTGAGAAATGTTACAGCCATGTTTTCCAAACCACTCTGAAATGACTAGCTGGAGGCTTGTCAACTCTTTTTTCTTTCCTTCCCTAGGAATCCGATCATGGGACACAAACTTGATTGAATGCAACTTGGACCAAGAACTGAAACTCTTTGTATCTCGACACTCTGCAAGATTTTCTCCTGAAGTTCCAGGTGAGGTTCTGTTCCTTGTTCATGTAGAATTTGAAAGAACAAAGGGGACAGGCTATTGGCTGTCGACTTTTCTCTCCCTCTGTTTACTGTTATCAACAAAGTTAGCCAGAAGCCACATTTTAAGAAATCAGTTCAAAGTTTTTCACTGTATGAATTTGGACTTTTGTGGACTTCTAGTATTTAGTTTTATTCTGCCTTGTATTTATTGTGGTTTAGTTGAAAGGTTTTAAGTTTTGGGGTCATTTTTCTGCTTCCCCCCCCCCCAATTTAAGCTCAAGCGGTTGTTGATTATTTAAATATTTCACACTGATGTAGCTACAGGTGTGAATTGGATGCCTTTAGACTCCCATAGAATCTATGTTTTTATTTTCAGATTTAAAATGCATAACTCTGTTTTAACTCACCATTGCATTATCACTTACCTTCCTTTATGAGGGTGAAGTGAGTTGAGTATGCCAAATTGCTATTAAACGAGGCTTTCTTACAGAGGTGAAAAAGAATCCTGCAGAGTAACTAAAGGTAAGGAAACACAAACTTGTCATGGTGAAGATGTTTCTTTAACCAGCCTCTCCCTGGGGATATATGTGGACCATTTCTGGAGGATTGGTGAGATGCTTGGGGAGCTTTGGTGGCCTAGTGGTAAGAAGCAGTGCTGCAATCCCAAAACCGCACCATTCAAATCCACCAGCTGCTTCTGGGGAGAAAGGTGGGCAAACTCCTCTCATGTGATTGACTGCCTCTGAAAACCCGCTGGAGGGAAAACTATGGGTCAGTTCCGACTCTACAGGATACAGCACCCACAACAGTGATAGGCTGCTTTGTTGCCTGCCTTTCACGTCTAAGCAAGTGATTCTTACTTCTCTCACTCAGTCACAGTTACTGGACAGTTTCTGGCCAATAAACTTCAAATCTGGCAAGTGTTTCTCAAACTCTCTGCAGTTGCCTTTTATTTCTTTACTGTTGCTAAACTGTTACGTAAAGCAAAGTAGAGAATACTCTTTTCTCTCGAGATTTTTTTTTGTTGCATGATTGCTGAGTTTATTGGCATTGATAAAAAGTTGGGGATGGAGTTAGGTGTTTTTGCTTGTATAGATGTTATTCTGTTAGAGGTGTACATTCCAATATCTGAATCCACTTCCTAGGAGGCTCTCGGTACCATTCTGAGTCAGTTTGCAGCAACTCCCTTGCAATATGCCTATGAGACTGTTACAGAGCTCCCCTTCCAGCATGGTAGTCGGAGAAACTCTCCATTTATCTTGGTAGCTTTCAAGCACAAAATGGAGTTAATATGATAAGGAAGACTTAGCAAACTGGTTTGTGAAAAAGCTTGCTACAAAGCCATGTGAAAAAGCAACTCTTCAATCACTTTGCATTAAGGGGAGGGGAGAGATTGAATATCATCCAGAGATTGTCAAACAGCACATGATTTACTGGGATAAAGGTACAGTATATGGTTATTTCTCCTGCATTGTGTTTCTGTGTCTTTAAAATCTCTATAACTTTTAAAGCATCTCACATATACACAAATTATCATTACTCTTTCTCCAACAATGATGCTTACTTCAAAACAGCAGTAAAAGTCAAGTTTCTGGTCCTTTTTAATCTAGTGGGTTCCGACTTTCTTCTTACCACTTGTTAAAGTGGTTACTTTTCTTTCCTTTGTAAAACATATTATGTGATTCTCATTGTGTTCATTCATAGATGAATTTGCTTCATAGACTAACAGTTGTTTGTTGAAAAATAGAAATACTGCAAGAGTTGCTGCCTAGTTCACCATTATTTGACCAGTTACACAGTATTACTCATGTGGGCTAGAGGAGCCAAGTCCTTTCAAACTGCCACTTAAGACCACATTCTCCCTTCTTTTCTCCTGCCGTCACCGAAAGAAAAGATAATTACTTACCTTGTAGCATCAATGCTGTCCTAGAAGCTAGGTCTGGAGATTAGCCTGTGGTCATGCAGCACCCTTACCATTCTTTTATCCTCCATAAAGAACTGAGTCTTCACTAGCCTCTGGGTACATTGTACAGGACCAAGACCTGGAAAGGGGGGCCCAAGCACCTGGAAAAGGGTCATTGTAGTGATGTTCGAGTAAGAAGTATACAGAGAGTCAAGGAGGTTGCTAAAGCACATGTCCAGCTCTGTTTCAGATAAATGTCTTTCAAGAGGCCCTTGAGAGGGACTGACTGAGGACCAGGACACAGAACTGGGGTGATTGGTGGTCACAGGATGATCCTATTGGGTCCAGGCATGCTTTTAGCTTTTTATGATTAGATGAAACCTGTTTTATGGAAAATTTAAAGTCTGTTTCTTTTTGGTAGGTCTAGCTCTGATAGTTTCTTTTCCATTCACTCAAGTCTTATGAAAGCTAATATCTATATAATTGAGGTCATCTTAAATAGAGTTGACTGATACAGGGTTTTAGAATTCTAAGTTAGCTTAGAGGCAAAGAATAAGATAAATGATAGATTCCCTACAAAAAATACTAGTGTGGCCATTTAGACAGATGAAAAATACTTAATTAGATCCTATAATAGGCCATAAACTGTTGGGGAAAGAATGGGACACAGTGATGAATTAGAGAAGCATAGATACTGCTTTAAGCTTATATTCTTGCAAGAAGAGGAGACATTTAGCAATTATATACAGATTAATATAAAATACAGTACTGTAGCAATCTGACCTTCCCACAGCTTGTTTTAGGCTTTGGGGTTGTTTTGTTTTGTTTTCTCTTTCACACTAGCAGACCACAGAGCTGTAGTAAAATCTTCTTATCTTCTATGACATATGCAGATTAAGGGTGAGATTATGTTTACAGCATCTACTACCCATGTTGGTCACTATACCTTCTATATATTTTGTAGTTGTTTTTAAGAATTGGAAATTAAAAAGAAAGAAAAAAGAATTGGAAATTGTCTATAAAAGACTTCAAGTTGCAGCTAACAGAGGTTGATGTGCTTCTTTGTTCTAATTTCTCTCTATTCTTGAAATTCTATATATAGCCTTGGGGTTTGTTTTAGTGATTTCTTAAATATTCTCAGTCTCATTCAGGACCACTCTGAAAGGTTTAGTCACTGTGAACAAATAACCTTTGAGTAGGAACCTGGAATATGAGTGCTTTGCTTGTACAAGGGTGGGGGATGGATGATATGAATGGGGAGATTGTGGGTCCTCCAGTCCCCTAGTAAGTGAGCCCTGGACACTCAAAGCCGCTTACACAACTCTGCATAGTATGGTTCATTGACTAGCAAGCCACTTAAGGCCATCTTCCCATCTTAATCGGGTTGCAGAATTGGCTTGGTTGAACATTACTCAACAGACCCCTACTGTGTGCCCATATCTGCTTGTTGCTGATTACCTCTGGACAATCCTGAAGTGTAAAACTCATTCTGGTCTGTCTAAGAAGGGTTCAAGTGAGATAGGTTGTCTTGAAAGGGTTAGGTAGCTTTCATGAACACTCCTCTGTCTTTCATGTATGCTAAAATGGTAACTATCAAATCTTTCAAAATTGACTGCTTAACGACCAAAAGACAAATAATGCTATTATAAAATGAGCAAAGGGCTTGAACAGACATTTCATCAAAGAAGACACAGATGACTACTAAAGATGTGAGAAGACGCTCAGTCATTGGTCATCAGAAAGATGCAAATCAAAACCACAATGAGGTAACTATTTCAATCCCACTGAGATGGCTAAGTTGTGGTGGTTTGTGTTGGTTTGTTTGTTGTTTAAAAAAAAAAAAAAAGGAAAATAAGAATGTTGATGTGTTTGTGGAGCTACTAGAACCCTTATCCATTACTGGTGAGAATGTAAGATTATCTAGCCACTGTGGGAAGTAGTGTGGTGGTTCCTCAAAAACTGAAATAGAACTGCCATTGTCGTGATTATTATTAGGAGCTGTGAAGTTGACTACAGCTCATAACAATGCCGTGTACATCAGAATGACGCCTTACCCAATGCTGCACCATCCTTACCATCTCCACTGTGCCTAAACCCACTGTTAAAGTCACCGTGTCAGGCCATCTTGTTGAGGATCTTACTCTCCTTTGATGATCCTCTATTTTTCTAAGCATGATGTCCTTCTTGAGGAATTGACCTTTCCTGATAACATGTCCAAAGTATGTGAGACCAAATCTCACCATCGTCGCCTCTAAGGAACACTTTGGCTGCACTTCTAATGAAGATTTGCTTTTTCTTTTGTCAGTTCATGATATATTCAATATTCTTTGGCAGGGCAACAATTCAGACATGAGTTCTTCCTAGGCCTTCCATATTCACTGTGCATCTTTCACATGAGTGTGAAACAATTAAAAATACCGTGCCTTGAGGCCCACCTTGGTCCTACTTATGCTGAAATACTTGCTCTTTTGTGCCTCAGGAGAGGGCCTTACAGCAGTTTTGCCTAATGCTGCATGTGTTTTGCTTTCTTGCCTGCTGCTTCCATGGATGTGGGTTGTGGATTTAAGAAGTTCTTGCCAGCACCAATCTTTTTTCCATTTATGATGTTACCAGTGGTTTCCAGTTCCAAGGATTTTCATTTCCTTTCTGTGAAGGTGTAATCTATATGGAAAGCTATAGTTTTTCATCTTGTTCAGTAAGTACTTTAAGTCCTTTTCCCTTTGAGCAAGGAGGTCTTGTACCACCTGTATATTTCAGGCTGTTGATGAGTTTTTCTCCTATCTAGATGTTACATCCTTCCTTGTATAGTCCAGTTTCTCTAGAACTACCACACAACCCAGCAATTCCTCCCCTAGGCATTTACCCAGAAGACTTCAAAGGCCAACTCATGTATAACAATATTCATGACAGCACTGTTCAAAATAGTCAAAAGATAGAAACAACCTAAATATCCATCAATAGATGCATGCATTAAACATGTCCTTACACATTTATAAAGTGGAATACTTCCCAGCCAGAAAGAGAAATCTTTTTTTTAAATTTTTTTAAAAAATTTTATTATTTTTTTGTGTGTACCATCAAATCAGATCTGACTGGTACA